GGTTGATTTTTGTTGATGGTGTAGGTGGAGTTGTTGGCGGTGACGGTGAGGGTTAGTGATGATAGTGGTGGTCATGGCGGTGGTGCGTTGGTTTTAAGTGGGATGCGCATGGGCGGGGGTGTTTGTGATCAATTATTTGAAATTGTGACCAATAAATAATGTTACATAAAAATTTGAATTGTGAATTTAACATTTGTGATTTGTGATCGACAAATTGATATTGTGGCCAATAAATTGGATATTTTGTGACTAATAAATAATATGTGACCTAAAAAATAATAAATGACTTATTAATTTGATAGATTTGTGATCGATAAATAAATTATGACTTTTAAATTTTTAATTTGTGACCGATAAACAAACTGTAACCTATAATTTTTTTAAATTATGATCGTAAAATAATTCGTGAAATAAAAATTCTTATTTGTGACCAAAAAATAATATGTGACTAATTAAATGGTTAATTTGTGATCAAATTGTATAAATCTGTGACCTCAATATATTTAATTAATTAAATCATAAATAAATTTAAATAAAAACCTGATTTTTGAAATTTAAAACATATATCCATAATTTTGAAACGGTGATACTTAAATACATTATTTATGTATTATTCCCTAAATTGTATTTGTATCGTAAGTTATAGTATTTGGGCAAAATAATTGCAATACCTTACATCACGTGGGTATCGAAGTTCGAGATCTCGTATTCGAGTCGACGCTGAAGCAATCTTGTGTAGATAATGTAGGAGCATGCTTAAAATAAGGGTGAGCCTAATGGGAGTGGGCTCGTGGTGGATTCACATACTTATTTTGGGTGGTATAGAATGGATTGTATGTGTCAAACTATATCTTTTGGTCAATATTCTACATTACTATATTTACTTTGATAGTCTTTAGTAAATAAATTTAAACAATCACAATTTAAAACTTTACATGCGTGATAATATGACTTATTTTTCTTCCTTATTAATTTAGTATTGTCTATCCTACTTTACAAAATATAATTGAATAACGTGGTACACTATAATAAATGGATTAAAATTTTATTTGCTTTTTTAAATCATTTTAATTTGTATCTATTCTTAAATATCAATTGTGCTTAAGGGGGTTATAGTGTCATTTTCACGTTTGAGTATCTTATAAATAATAAAGAAGATAAAAATTAAATTATAATTTATTATATTATTCAGTCGCGTTGAATACTAGACATTGGCATGCAAAGTTTTAGATTGTGATAATGTTTTGATTAATTTGTGGGTTTTAAGAAGACTTTAGACTGCCAAAGTAAATATTGCTAACATCAAAACTTCCATTAATTTAAGAAAATAAAATAATAAATGCTGGAAGTTCCTGATTTTGCATGGTGGCTAAGCAAGAACCAAAAATGACTGAAACAATCACAATATTTAATAAACAAGTTTTTAACTTTTTTTATTGATAAATTTGAAAAGAAAAAAAAAATTTTGAAAAATAAGTTATTTGTACAAGGACAGTAACATCATCACTTTCCTAGAAGAAATGTGCAAACAAGCATACAGTCAGAGAGTCAGATCTTGAAAGAAGAAAGGGGGGGAAAAAAAGTAGATTTCATTCAATATCATAACATACACAAATTTCCAGAAACTGAAATCTTTCTGATTGTACTTATAGTCAGTTTTCATAATTCAAGAAGAACATGTTGTTACTACATCCGTGTCCAATACTAATTAGTTCGTTAACTTCCTCGAGATCATATTGTAATTGACAGTTCCCAAGAATCCCATTTCCCTTTTGATGATCATCAGAAAACGAATTGAGTGGATCATCACCGTTGATATTTCCATAATCAAGCATGAAACCTTGAAAACAGCCCATTTCTTCTTGTTTTACATCCTTTCTGTAGCTGATCTGACTGCAACTTCCATCAGATGAAGAACAACTTGCTTCATTTCCATTAAATATCAGCATATTCTGATCTTTCACTGGAAAATAATAGTGTGAATCCATCAAACCCTCTTGGTTCTGAAGGCAATAGGAATATTGATTGGTAAATGAAGGAATAGTGGTATTATAGTACAGAAAATTTTGTGGGAGCGAAGAGGATTCAATTCCTGCGAGGGATTTTGTTGGGGTGTAAAATGAGTTGAAATGATCTTTATATAACGATGACAGATTTGGGAGTACCGAGTGAGAAATGGTTGGATAAAATGGTGATGTTTTCCCTTGGTAATTTGGGGTAAATTTGCTAATGAGCTTCTTCTTCAACTTGGTATTCCAGTAGTTCTTGATATCGTTATCGGTCCTTCCAGGTAACCGTGCAGCTATGATTGACCACCTGCATTTTTCGGAAACAGTTTTAGAAGAAACCATTAAATTTCATCGTCTAAAAGCTTAAAGAACTAAAGAATTAGGCACTTGTCTTCGACTAGTCCCCTCAGTTCTCACATAAAAAAATTTCGAAAAGAAGAAGCTTTTGAGCTATTCATTAAACAGGCTATATGTTTCTTCAACAGTTTCAAATTCTTGTCATTTTTCTCTTAAAAACTGGTAAATAAAAGCCAGGAAATGAAAATGTAAGTAGTACTGTTGCTTGCCTGCTTCCAATGTTTGCATATAGGTTGCAGATTATTCTATCTTCTTCATCAGAAAATTCACCATGTTTAATGTTAGGCCTCAAATAATTAAGCCAACGCAATCTGCAGCTTTTCCCGCATCTCTTTAGACCTGGACTCAACACCAACCCATCAACATAAATGTAAAACACAACATTAGATACTAGATAGAGAGAGAGAAGAATTTTGAACACATACCAGCTTTCTGAGGGAGAGCAATCCAATTCCCACAAGTCCCATATTTCTCGATGAACACTTTAAGCTGTGCATCTTCTTCAGGTGACCATGGTCCCTTCTTGACATTTGCTTTGTCACAACAAGGAGCCCTACCCATCTCTCTCTCTCTCTCTCTGTCTCACTTGCTATAAGCACATGTCGTTGGCTGTTTGAGAAACTTCTCCCTCTCTCTCTAAAATGACTTGGTATGTGATGGCTTTGGGGTTTTTATTGAGGAAAACTGTGGTTAAAAAACAGTAAACAAGTTATTAGGATATTTTTTGAAGAGTTACTTAAAGGGATAGGATTATTAGATTAATTTCAAACTTCGCAGCCAAACAGGTAGCCGATGGAAGTTTCCATCCTATAATTATTCAGTAAATGCTGTGTATAACCAGTCTTCCTTACTAGATGGTTGAAGACACAAACTATATACATTAAGTGAATTTTATTATTTTGGGTTAATTCTACTAAAGGTCACTAAACTTTCACCATTGAACTTTAATTTAATGCAATTACACTACTAAACTTTAATTTACATGCAATTAGGTCACCCTGTTTGGATTCCGTCAATGAGCCTACCAAAATTATTTAACATGTCAGTCAAAAATAACAACGTACCATATCAGTCCATTTAAAATTGGGATTAATCACAAAAGAGTTCATTAAACTTTCATCATACTTGCACATTAAGGATTCAACTATGATGACCAGATGAATATGTACATTCACACGACAATCCAATTCATTTGCAACAGCAATATATACGAGTAAAAGTTATTGGATAGAGTAGCTAGGGATAGATGCAAATGATTGTACCTATTCTATAGCACGTGAAGTTGTGGAGAAGGAAAATAACTATTTATGAAGTTGGTTTTCGACACATTTGGCGTTAGTATTGGAAGCTCTTTTTAAGTAGTTTTTGACGACGACAATTATTTAAATAATGTTCTTTTATTTCATGTTGCATTTGTTTTCCCCCATATATTCACTCAATGAATTGGATTGTTGCATATGGTAATGGTACATCCATCCACTCAACATAGTTGGATCGTTTTGATATTTAGTGACTTGATTGCATCAAATTGAAGTCAAGTGACCTACTTGCATGTATGCCGAAAGTTTGGTCATGAACTTCAACGCAATTAATCCTTATTAGTTTTGTAAAATAATTTAATTAGAATAACATTATTGCATATGCCATTAGATATGAGCGTCAAGCAAAAATTTATATCTTAATCAACACGTAGGTCTTGCTTGTTAGATCACATGAATTGACTTTGTTTGGGTTTCATTTTATTTTGCTAAAATTTTACATGTCAAGAAATTGGTGATTGATAAGTGAATAATACTTATGAGTCTTACGATTTTTATTTTTTTTTATAACCGTGGATGTTCGAGCCAGCTTGCACGCACCTCGACAAATTCCACGGGGTCCTAAAGTTTACATCCGGGTACCTCAGTGGCCCTGAGAAGACTCGAACTGGTGACTATTGGGGAGCAAACCCAAGGCCTGACCAATTGAGTAACCTCTCAAGGTTATGAGTCTTACGAATTATGTGATTAAAATTAATAATCAACATTGAAAAGTAAAATAGGAAACGAAAAGCAAAAGGTGGCATTATGAGGCAACTAACGAATTTTTTTTTTTTTTAAACAGTTTTCTTGTTTAATTTTATATATTGTCAAAGGGATCGAATGTGACTCCTACCCACTTTTTATTTACATTTCATAAGACACACAACTAAATATACTTTAGTTTTTTTCATACAGAATCATTAATTATCAATGTGGAAAAAATTAATTTGATACAAATATTAGGGTCCGTTTGACAGGCAAACGAGGAAAAGAATTTTAATTTCATGTTAGATGAAAAATAAAAACTCATCAAATCCATAGGAATTCAATTTCCATAAAAACAAAGAAAATGCAGTTTTTATGAAAGATAATACATTACATTACATTAGCGTAACAGGAAAGACATGACAAATTTCTCTTTTTGTACAGAAGGTCTTATAAGATTAAAATTGTAACGATATCATTTTATATTTAATTAAAAAAATTTAAAAGATTGCAAAATTTTCATTCCGAAGGAATTCTAGAAACATCCTTTTTTTATAATGCATTAAAATCACTTTTTTTTTTTGGAGATTTTGATTAAAAAAATGATGAAATGTACGGTTGAAGAGTTATGGATACCATGAAATATGTGATTAAGATTAATTGTTGATTTTAACTTAAATTAAAATTAAAATTTTAATAGTCCTGGAGAAGGGCGTAATATGCAAATATTGTCGCTGACCTCGTGTCCGGAGATACAAAACACGCTTTCTTTATTGCCAAAATAATTGTCTGCATTAACGTTTTCTTCACTGTATTGGAACACCACACTAAGATTCTCAAATATTATAACAAAAATATGGATATGAATTTGGAAATATTATAACAATTCATTATTTATTTAGTATAAATATTAAAAATAATTGTTACATTTTATATGCATATGCGTGGAAAGACTAGTTCTTTTAATATTTACTAATTATTAGAAAGGATATTGGACCTAACTTAACTTAACAAAATCGGTTTGTTAAGGGATGATTATCCTCACCTTATTAAGTGGAACTTGCTGTGAAACATGTTTTGAATTTTTAACTTACCTGTGAAGAAATATTTAGAGCTTGTTTGGGAGGGATTTTTGGGGGAAGAATTGATTTTGAATAGTGATATGATGGGAAATGTGTGGTTGAAAAAAAAGAAAAAATTATTGATGTGATGGAAAATATTATTTTATTGAGAATGTGTGGTTGAAAATGATAATTGATTTACTGTAGAAAAATCTAATCCCTCCCAAACAGGGCCTTAGTTTTTTTCATACAGAATCATTAATTATCAATGTGGAAAAAATTAATTTCATACAAATATTAGGGTCCGTTTGACATGTAAACAAGGAAAATAATTTCAATTCCATGTTAGTTGGAAAATAAAAACTTATCAAATCCATAGGAATTCAATTTCCATAAAAACAAAGAAAATGCAGTTTAAAGTTGTTGTATCTTGAAATTCGATTTTCATTTTCACGTTGTAATCAAACGGTCAAAGAAAAATTCGTTTTTCTCGAATGTGATATTTTTTCATGAAAAATGTGATAATCAAACAGGGTCTTAGAGCCCGTTGTTACAAACTTAATGAAACTTCATTTAGTGACTTAGTTTGAATATAACACTAGAGAGCGAGACTTGAATTATTAAAAATAGTGCATATTTAAATATAAAATATATCTTCAACACGTATTTTCAAAAAATAGCCAGACTCCCTTTTATGAAAGATAATACATGTACAATTTTAAAACTTGAGCATACGAATTTTTCATGCTCTAGTTAGACCATGCAAGTGTTGTAATCTCATCGTGCCATCGTCACTCATTTATAAGAAACTAGTACGTGTGAAACCTTGTCGAGTGTGATAAAATAACATTTAAAAATAAGTATATATATTTCTTTTAAACGTCCTAAACTTTTAAATGAGGTAATTAACATTACATTAGCGTAACAGGAAAGACATGACAAATTTCTCTTTTTGTACAGAAGGTCTTATAAGATTAAAATTTTAACGATATCATTTTATATTTAATTAAAAAAATTTAAAAGATTGCAAAATTTTCATTCGAAGGAATTCTAGAAGCATCCTTTTTTATAATGCATTAAAATCACATTTTTTTTTGTAGATTTTGATTAAAAAATGATGAAATGTACGGTTGAAGAGTTGTGGATACCATGAAATATGTGATTAAAATTAATTGTTGATTTTAACTTAAATTAAAATTTTAATTTTAATAGTCCCGGAGAAGGGCGTAATATGCAAATATTGTCGCTGACCTCGTGTCTGGAAGATACAAAACACGCTTTCTTTATTGCCAAAATAATTGTCTGCATTAACGTTTTCTTCACTGTATTGGAACACCACACTAAGATTCTCAAATATTAAGTGGATCGTGTACATATCACCAGCCAATGTAGGACTCTAATACGCTCCCTCACGCACAGCGTGGACCATGTCAATCAACTGTGAACAAATCGATATTTGGTGCACCCAAGATTACAAAACTAGACCTGCTCTGATACCATATTAAAAAGGATATTGAATCTAACTCAACCTAACAAAATCGGCTTGTTAAGGGAGAATTACCATCACCTTATTAAGTAGATCGTATAAATATCACCAGTTAATGTGTGACTCTAATACTAATATAATTTTTAGTCTCGTTCTGTTCTTGAAATATTAAGCGTACTCGTCTTGTTCTATTTTATTGAATATCTCATTATTATAGATTTTTTGTTTCTTTAAATCTTATCAGCAACATGAAAATACATTACTGTTCGAACGCGTAGACGGACGAGGTGAATTATAAAATCTTGAATTGAGTACTTTTTAAAAAACTCAATAATTATACAAAAATAATTTTGTCATCCATAAATAAATTTATTTTTTCTGTCTTTTCTTCTGCAACATCGAATCTTTCGTTTAAAAAATTGAAAGGTGCCTTGAAAATTAGTAATAAAATTAATTATTGTGGATCATTATCATGTGATTAATTATTGATTAAAATTGGACAAGTGTCCTAGTCCCCATTGACTTTTGTGACAGCATAGAAGCAGATTTGTATTTCGCTAGCTAGCTTCGAACATTATCAACGGTAGGCAAACTACGGTAGAAAAATTTTGTGGAATTAAAGTCGTTTGATTAATTTAATCACTCGTTAATTAACTATTTTGAGATGATTTGTCTATGTAAATTTATAATCCATGCTTGTCCTAATCTTACCTACTATTCTGTACATCCTCTTGCTTCTTTGCTTAGCTTTCTGATAAAAAGATAAAATAAAAATAAAATTGCACTGTTTTTTGTATGTAAGATTCGAAGATATTCGAGTATGTATGTCTATTAATGAATTTGATATCATCTCTCAAATGACAACGTCGTGGAAATAGTGAAAAGAAGAATTTCAAAAACTCGTACGCATTACGATATTATCGCCATTCCATATATAAAAATAAAAGAAATTTATTCATTTATTTTTATTTTTTACCATGAGTTAGCTTGTAATTTGACTATTTAAAT